GATAGAGAGTGTCTGCCACACAACTGTGTGTGTGTGATAGAGAGTGTCTGCCACACAACTGTCTACAAACATTATTGAAATCAACATGCTGTGTAAATGGTGATCATGATGCAGATGTGGCAGAAAAAAACCAGTTACTGTTGACTACTGCCATAACACAAGATATTCCAACCGGTCGTTACTGTTACTGTTGACTACTGCCATAACACAAGATACTCCAACCGGTCATTACTGTTACTGTTGACTACTGCCATAACACAAGATACTCCAACCGGTCATTACTGTTACTGTTGACTACTGCCATAACACAAGATGCTCCAACCGGTCATTACTATTGCTGTCATTCCATTTAACACTGGGGAAAAATCCATCAAGTGTGTAGCTTGTTTTGTTGATTATGTCAAGTGCTTTCATAGTGTAACACTAGAATACATGTATGGTGCATGCTCGTGGATATCATTTGTGGAGTCGGACAATATGTTTGTTGGCTGTCTGAAGTGAAGTACATATGAAGTTCGTATAAAGCTGCCAGAACCTACAGTTATACAGAGACACCGATAACCTCATACTTGTACACAAGTGGGAGCTGTTGTACCACTCCTGCTAGTTCTCTGTGAGGGCAAGAGAGGAGACATGACTCTCCCAGCTACCACTCCTGCTAGCTCTCTGTGAGGGCAAGAGAGGAGACATGACTCTCCCAGCTACCACTCCTGCTAGCTCTCTGTGAGGGCAAGAGAGGAGACATGACTCTCCCAGCTACCACTCCTGCTAGCTCTCTGTGAGGGCAAAAGAGACGAGACATGACTCCCAGCTACCACTCCTGCTATCTCTCTGTGAGGGCAAGAGAAGAGACATGACTCTCCCAGCTACCACTCCTGCTAGTTCTCTGTGAGGGCAAGAGACATTACTCTCCCAGCTACCACTCCTGCTAGTTGTCTGTGAGGGCCAAAGAAGAGACATGACTCTCCCAGCTACCACTCCTGCTAGCTCTCTGTGAGGGCAAGAGAGGAGACATGACTCTCACAGCTACCACTCCTGCTAGCTCTCTGTGAGGGCAAAAGAGACGAGACATGACTCTCCCAGCTACCACTCCTGCTAGTTCTCTGTGAGGACAAGAGAAGAGACATGACTCTCCCAGCTACCACTCCTGCTAGTTCTCTGTGAGGACAAGAGAAGAGACATGACTCTCCCAGCTACCACTCCTGCTAGTTCTCTGTGAGGACAAGAGAAGAGACATGACTCTCCCAGCAACAGTGGCTAGAGGACCCGGCACCGATGAGAGTGGCTGGTGTGTGGGGATGTCACCCGAGATCAAATGTATAATAACTTCAACACTCACATAATCATGTCCTAACATAGATTACAATACATCCACTTTTTATTTCCCCCAAGTTATTTTACAGTAAACAACAGCATATATGTGCTGCAACAGATGTCACACTTGTTGTGTTAGTCATCTGGTTTTGAGTTAGTAAACATGACTGCAGTGGTGTAGTGTAAAGTGCACTTGATTACCAAGGCAGTGGGCAGGGTTTGAGCCCCAGCAGGGGTCAGGGTTCTCTTGCCTGATCAGCCACAATCAGACTGACCAGCATGGCTATGGAGACATGCCAGCCACAATCAGACTGGGACCAGGCACAATCAGACTGGGACCAGGCACAGTTCAGGGCATGACAAGTTGTGAAGAAGATAACTGGTCAGTACATCTCCAACTGGGTGGTGCAGATGTTAGCACACTTGCCTGCTGACCTGGTGGTGTTTGAGCTAGGCAGAGTTTTGCCTCCTCTTGTCCAGTGCACCAAGGTCATGCCAGCCCAAAGTGGGTACCAGTCAATATTTTGTGAACCAGGGAATGTTCTGTGAAACAGGGAATGTTCTGTGAACCGGGGAATTTTCTGCAAAACAGGGAATGTTCTGTGAACCAGGGAATGTTCTGTGAACAGTTATGATCTGCGAACCAAAGAATGTTCTATTAGGCAGTGAATATTACGTGAACATTTGAATGTTATATTAAGCTGTGAATGCTTTATTAAGCAGCAAATGTTCTGTGAACCAGTGAGTGTTCTTTTAAGCAGTGAATGTTCTGTGTACCAGTGAATATTCTATTAAGTAGTAAATGCTCTGTGAACCAGGGAATGCACTGTGAACCAGGGAATGTTCAGTGAACCAGGGAATGCACTGTGAACCAGGAAATGTTCTGTGAACCAGGAAATGTTATATGAACCAGGATATGTTCTGTGAACCAGTGATGTTCTGTGAACTAGGAAATGTTCTGTGAACCAGTGAATGTTCTGTGATCCAGGGAATGATATATGTACAAGTGAATTTTCTGTGATCCAGGGAATGTTCTGTGAACCAGTGAATGTTCTGTGAAACAGTGAATGTTCTGTGAACCAATGAATGTTCTATGAAGCAGTGAATGTTCTATAAGGCAGTGAATATTACGTGAACCATTAAATGTTCTATTAAGCAGTGAATGCTTTATTAAGCAGTGAATATTCTGTGCACCAGTAAATATTTTATTAAGTAGTAAATGCTCTGTGAACCAGTGAATGCTCTGTGAACCAGGGAATGTTCTGTGAACCAGTGAATGTTCTGTGATCCAGGGAATACGGGAACAAGTGAAAATTCTGTGATCTGGTGAATGTTCTGTGAACTAGGGAATGTTGTGTGAACCAGGAAATGTTATGTGAATGAGTGAATTTTTTTTGGGGGGGGGAAGCAGGGAATGTTGTGTGAATGTATTGTAAAGGAGCGAATGTTGTGTGGAATGTTTTTGTGAATGAGGGAATGTTGTGGGAATCAGGGAATGTTGTGTGAATGAGTTGTTTGCTAAGTTGTTTACTGACTAAACTAAACATGACCGAGTACCTTAGGATACAGTTCATGCTTGCACACACAACTGCCAGGAAAACTCAATGTAATGGCTGCCATAAATGCACATTTTATTGTCACAGACAAAGAGGGTTTTCACTAACCCTCACACACAACAATGCAATCGAAGTAATTCATTAATCTGTCCTGGCTAACATGAGATGAATGTTCCACCCTTGGCTCACTCCCACAGCCCTTCTCAGACATCTCATTTCCATGGTTACTAATTTTCTTTTATGGTTTCTCGTGACCATGTCTGGCACTGGTAGCACAGAGTTGGAATAAATTTGCTTTGAATAAGATGTCTCTTTGTGCTGATTGGAATTGTCTTAAGCTGTAAGAGGGGGGCTAGCTGTCCCAATACTTGGTTTGCTTTACTGCATCTAATGTTAATTTCTTTATCCAATTTCCCATCTTCGGTAAATGTAGTTCCCAGATATTTAAACTCAGATGCCTGTTTAATGCCTTTGTATTCTATTGCTATGTTTAGATCTGTCTTCATTTTTTTTCCTGTTGACATTACTTCTGTCTTTTCAGTGTTGATTCTCATATTATTTGTTTTACATTCTTCCTTCATGGATGTTAGATGTTGCAATTTCATGGCTGTATCAAGGCCTGGTCATCTGCAAAGAGTTATTCATTGATCTTACTAACATTTTCATTCATGGGCTTGGCATTCTTGCATATACTGTCGATGTAGGTGATAAACAGCAGTGGTGATAAGACACATCTCAGCTATACTAGCATTTAAAACTCTGTCAACAACAATACGGGTTGAAAAAGGGGAGGGGAAGGGATGGCATAACTAAACACATTCTACAGAATACATATATAATCCTATAAATAACTGCATGGAAACCTCTCCTGCATCTATGACCACAACTAAAAAACATATAAGTAATATATAATCACTTCATATGCCCTTAATAAATCAAACTGCTGGCAGAAATATCACAGCTCTCAGCAGAAACCTTTGATTGCACTGAAACTTTATTTGTTTCTAGTCAGTAAACATATTTTATAGCTTGTGTCAAGTCAGTCAACATATTTTATAGCTTGTGTCAAGTCAGTCAACATATTTAATAGCATGTGTCAAGTCAGTAAACATATTTTATAGCTTGTGTAAAGTCAGGCAACATATTTTATACCTCGTGTCAAGTCAGTCAACATATTTTATAGCTTATGTCAAGTCAGTCAACATATTTTATAGCTTGTGTCAAGTCAGTCAACATATTTTATAGCTTTTTTCAAGTCAGTCAACATATTCTATAGCTTGTGTCAAGTCAGTCAACATATTCTATAGCTTGTTTCAAGTCAGTCAACATATTTTATTGCTTGTGTCAAGTCATTCAACATATTCTATAGCTTGTGTCAAATCAGTCAACATATTTTATAGCTTGTGTCAAGTCAGTCAACATATCTTATAGCTTGTGTCAAGTCATTCAACTTATTCTATAGCTTGTGTCAAGTCAGTCAACATATTTTATAGCTTGTGTCAAGTCATTCAACATATTCTATAGCTTGTGTCAAGTCAGTCAACATATTTTATAGCTTGTGTCAAGTCAGTCAACATATTTTATAGCTTGTGTCAAGTGATTCAACATTTTTATAACTTGTTTCAAGTGATTCAAAATATTTTATGCTTGTGTCAAGTCATTCAACATATTCTATAGCTTGTGTCAAGTCAGTCAACATATTTTATAGCTTGTGTCAAGTCAGTCAACATATTTTATAGCTTGTGTCAAGTGATTCAAAATTTTTATAACTTGTTTCAAGTGATTCAACATATTTTATGCTTGTGTCAAGTCATTCAACATATTCTATAGCTTGTGTCAAGTCAATCAACATTTTTTTTATAGCTTGTTTCAAGTGATTCAAAATATTTTATGCTTGTGTCAAGTCATTCAACATATTCTATAGCTTGTGTCAAGTCAATCAACATATTTTATAGCTTGTGTCAAGTCATTCAACATATTCTATAGCTTGTGTCAAGTCAATCAACATATTTTATAGCTTGTGTCAAGTCAATCAACATATTCTATAGCTTGTGTCAAGTCAGTCAACATATTTTATAGCTTGTTTCAAGTGATAATCTGTTGCTACCCAGATGTGAATCAAAAGAACAATCAAGACACCAGTAGCAGGTACTGACTCATTTCCTCGCAAGTGACATTACCCCCAGTGACATAAACGACGACCTTTTTACCCTGAATGTACGGAACTTTCCCTGCAAGAACTGCCGCCAGGGCCGCACTGCCAGATGGTTCAGCTTTGATGCCTCTCTCAAACATCTTCTTCGTGGCTCGGAGGATCTCCTCATCAGACACAAGGAGAACATCCTCGACGAACTTGAGACAGTGTTTGTAGCACAGTGACCCTGTAGAGTAACAGCATGTTGAAGTCATTTGGTTCACACAGAACCTGAGAGATACCTGAGTAAACACACAGAACCTGAGAGATACCTGACTAAACCCACAGAACCTGAGAGATACCTGAGTAAAAACACACAGAACCTGAGAGATACCCGAGTAAACACACAGAACCTGAGAAATACCCGAGTAAACACACAGAACCTGAGATATACCCGAGTAAACACACAGAAACTGAGATATACCCGAGTAAACACACAGAACCTGAGAGATACCCGAGTAAACCCACAGAACCTGAGAGATACCTGAGTAAACACACAGAACGTGAGAAATACCCGAGTAAACACACAGAACCTGAGAGATACCCGAGTAAACCCACAGAACCTGAGAGATACCCGAGTAAACACACAGAACCTGAGAGATAACCGAGTAAACACAGAACCTGAGAGATACCAGAGTAAACACACAGAAACTGAGAGATACCCGAGTAAACACACAGAACCTGAGATATAACCGAGTAAACACGCAGAACCTGAGATATAACCGAGTAAACACACAGAACCTGAGTTATAACCGAGTAAACACACAGAACATGAGATATAACCGAGTAAACACACCGAACCTGAGATTTAACCGAGTAAACACACAGAACCTGAGAGCTACCTGAGTAAAAACACACAGAACCTGAGAGATACCCGAGTAAACACACAGAATCTGAAAGATACCCAAGTAAACACACAGAACCTGAGAGATACCCGAGTAAACACACAGAACCTGAGAGATACCCGAGTAAACACACAGAACCTGAGAGATAACCGAGTAAACATACAGAACCTGAGAGATACCGAAGTAAACACACGGAACCTGAGAGATACCCGAGTAAACACACAGAACCTGAGAGATACCCGAGTAAACACACAGAACCTGAGAGATACCCAAGTAAACACACAGAAACTGAGAGATACCCGAGTAAACACACAGAACCTGAAAGATACCCAAGTAAACACACAGAACCTGAGAGATACCCGAGTAAACACACCGAATCTGAGAGATATCCGAGTAAACACACAGAACCTGAGAAATACCCGAGTAAACACACAGAACCTGAGAGATACCCGAGTAAACACACAGAAACTGAGATATACCCAAGTAAACACACAGAACCTGAGAGATACCCGAGTAAACACACAGAACCTGAGAAATACCCGAGTAAACACACAGAACCTGAGAAATACCCGAGTAAACACACAGAACCTGAGATATAACCGAGTAAACACACAGAACCTGAGATATAACTGAGTAAACACACAGAACCTGAGATATAACCGAGTAAACACGCAGAACCTGAGATATAACCAAGTAAACACACAGAACCTGAGATATAACCGAGTAAACACACAGAACCTGAGAGATACCTGAGTAAACACACAGAACCTGAGATATAACCGAGTAAACACAGAGAACTTGAGATATAACCGAGTAAACACAGAGAACTTGAGATATAACCGAGTAAACACACATAATATGTTTTAGAGATAAGACACCATACATCCTAGCTAGAAGACCCACAGATCCTAAGACACCCATACATCCTAGCTAGAGATAAGACACCATACATCCTAGCTAGAGATAAGACACCATACATCCTAGCTAGAGATAAGACACCATACATCCTAGCTAGAGATAAGACACCATACATCCTAGCTAGAGATAAGACATCCATATAAGATCCTACATCTAGCTAGAGATAAGACACCATACATCCTAGCTAGAGATAAGACACCATACATCCTAGCTAGAGATAAGACACCACATCCTACATCCTAGCTAGAGATAGAGACACCCATACATCCTAGCTAGAGATAAGACACCATACATCCTAGCTAGAGATAAGATACTATACATCCTAGCTAGAGATAAGACACCATACATCCTAGCTAGAGATAAGACACCATACATCCTAGCTAGAGATAAGACACCATACATCCTAGCTAGAGATAAGACACCATACATCCTAGCTAGAGATAAGACACCATACATCCTAGCTAGAGATAAGATACTATACATCCTAGCTAGAGATAAGATACCATACATCCTAGCTAGAGATAAGATACCATACATCCTAGCTAGAGATAAGACACCATACATCCTAGCTAGAGATAAGATACCATACATCCTAGCTAGAGATAAGACACCATACATCCTAGCTAGACATAAGATACCATACATCCTAGCTAGAGATAAGATACCATACATCCTAGCTAGAGATAAGACACCATACATCCTAGCTAGAGATAAGACACCATACATCCTAGCTAGAGATAAGATACCATACATCCTAGCTAGAGATAAGATACCATACATCCTAGCTAGAGATAAGATACTATACATCCTAGCTAGAGATAAGACACCATACATCCTAGCTAGAGATAAGATACCATACATCCTAGCTAGAGATAAGACACCATACATCCTAGCTAGAGATAAGACACCATACATCCTAGCTAGAGATAAGACACCATACATCCTAGCTAGAGATAAGACACCATACATCCTAGCTAGAGATAAGACACCATACATCCTAGCTAGAGATAAGACACCATACATCCTAGCTAGAGATAAGACACCATACATCCTAGCTAGAGATAAGACACCATACATCCTAGCTAGAGATAAGACACCATACATGCTAGCTAGAGATAAGACACCATACATCCTAGCTAGAGATAAGATACCATAGCTTCAATCATGATAAGATACTATATTGCCCGGCTCTCTAGCGAAGTTGGTTAAACCGAACTTTCGCGGCGGCCGGGTGACGAACTCCTTGTGGTCCGGGTTCACTCCCGGGGGTAGGCAGAAAAGCCACATTTCTCCCAGATTAACGGTACCTATAATGGAATCAAGGCCAAAGGGTTGCGATATCCATAGTACCGAGCCAAAGGGTTTACAACTCATGGTTTCTGGATACGTAAAAAAAAAAAAAAGCTCAAAGCTATAGTGCAGATACTATAGCCCTAAGCTTTAGATAAGATATTATACTCAAAGATAAAATTAAGATACCTGAAATCCTAGCTAGGGATAAGATACCAGAGCTCTGAGCTAGAGTTAAGATACTATACTCTAAGCTGAAATTAAGATACTAAATCTCCTAGCTATAGACAGGATATGATAGTTCTAAACCTAGCTAGAGATAAGATACCATAGCTCTAAGCTAGAGATGAAATACTATCAGTAAGCAGAAGTTTTAATACCATATTTCCTAGCTATAGGTAAAATACCACAGCTCTAAAGTTAAGATACTATAAGGAAGCTAAAGTTAAGATACCATATCTCCCAGCTAAAGATACCATATCTCCTAGCTAGAGAAAAAAAAATACCATAGCTCTAAGATAGAGTTAAGATAATACTCTAAGCTAGATACCACATCTCATCATAGCTCTAAGCTAAAGATACCATATCTCCTAGCTAGAGAAAAAAAAATACCATAGCTCTAAGATAGAGTTAAGATAATACTCTAAGCTAGATACCACATCTCGTAGCAAATGATTAGATACCAAAGCTCTAAGCTAAAGTTAAGATACCATATCTCCTAGCTACAGATGAGATACCATAGCTCTAAGCTAGAGTTGAGATACCATGTCTCCTAGCTAGAGATGAGATACCATAGCTCTAATCTAATGATATATATCATATCTCCTAGCTACAGATGAGATACCATAGCTCTAAGCTGGAGTTGAGATACCATGTCTCCTAGCTAGAGATAAAATTACCAAAGCTGTAAGCTAGAGTTAAGATACCATACTCTAAGCTAATAACAGATACAATATCTCCTAGCTAGAAAAAAGATCCCAGAGCTGTCAATTACTGTACGCAGCATTAATGTAACTGGTTCGCATGGCTGACCTACCTGCATATGGTGGAGCCAATCCCGCAGCTACTGACTTGACGTGTGGAAGAGACATGGCTCTCTTTGCTTTAAAACTTTCAGACATGGTTGCAGCTGAAAGAAAATTCAGCACAATATCAGTCAACAAAATAGATAGCAGTAAAGAACTGATAAAAAGAACTCAGCAGGAACCCAAAAAATAGTTCTTTCTATGAGAAATTCATCTTTCAGATAAGAGCTCAAGCATATGATAATGCATATACAACATGCAATACAGTAATGGATTAGTGTCGAATGCGATATAACTATATCACAGATCAGTGCTCACCCACACAGGAATGTGGGAGACACCTGGCTGTGGGGAGACACGTGGCTGTGGGGAGACACCTGGCTGTGGGGAGACACCTGGCTGTGGGGAGACCTGGCTGTGGGGAGACACCTGGCTGTGGGGAGACACCTGGCTGTGGGGAGACACCTGGCTGTGGGGAGACACCTGGCTGTGGGGAGACACCTGGCTGTGGGGAGACACCTGGCTGTGGGGAGACACCTGGCTGTGGGGAGACACCTGGCTGTGGGGAGACACCTGGCTGTACACCTGGCTGTGGGGAGACACCTGGGTTGTGGGGAGACACCAGGCTGTGAGGAGACACCTGGCTGTGGGGAGACACCTGGCTGTGGGGAGACACCTGGCTGTGGGGAGACACCTGGCTGTGGGGAGACACCCAGGCTGTGGGAGACACCTGGCTGTGTGGGGAGACACCTGGCTGTGGGGAGACACCTGGCTGTGGGGAGGACACCTGGCTGTGGGGAGACACCTGCTGTGGGTAGACACCTGGCTGTGGGGAGGACACCTGGCTGTGGGGCTACACCTGGCTGTGGGGAGACACATGGCTGTGGGGAGACACCTGGCTGTATTGATACACCTGGCTGTGGGGAGACACCTGGCTGTGGGGAGACACCTGGCTGTGGGGAGACACCTGGCTGTGGGGAGACACCTGGCTGTGGGGAGACACCAGGCTGTGAGGAGACACCTGGCTGTGGGGAGACCTGGCTGTGGGGAGACACCTGGCTGTGGGGAGACACCTGGCTGTGGGGAGACCTGGCTGTGGGGAGACACCTGGCTGTGGGGATACACCTGGCTGTGGGGATACACCCGGCTGTGGGGAGACACCCGGCTGTGGGGAGACCTGGCTGTGGGGATACACCTGGCTGTGGGGAGACACCTGGCTGTGGGGAGACACCTGGCTGTGGGGAGACACCTGGCTGTGGGGAGAAACCTGGCTGTGGGGAGACACCTGGCTGTGGGAGACACCTGGCTGTGGGGAGACACCTGGCTGTGGGAGACACCTGGCTTTGGGAATACACCTGGCTGTGGAATACACCTGGCTGTGGGGATACACATGGCTGTGGGGAGACACCTGGCTGTGGGGAGACATCTGGCTGTGGGGAGACATCTGGCTGTGGGGAGAACCTGGATGTGGGGAGACATATGCCTGTTGGGATACACATGGCTGTCAGGAGACACCTGGCTGTGGGGAGGCACCTGACTGTGAAATACACCTGGCTGTGGGCATACACCTTGCTGTGGGGAGACACCTGGCTGTGGGGAGACACCTGGCTGTGGGGAGACACCTGGCTGTGGGGAGACACCTGGCTGTGAAATACACCCGCCTGTGAGGAGGCACCTGACTGTGAAATACACCTTGCTGTGGGGAGACACCTGGCTGTGGGGAGACACCTGGCTGTGGGAGACACCTGGATGTGGGAGACACCTGGCTGTGGGGAGAGACCTAGCTGTGGGGATACACCTGGATGTGGGGAGACACCTGGATGTGGGAGACACCTGGCTGTGGGGATACACATGGCTGGTAGGACAGTATCGCTGCCCTGAGTAGAACTTCTGTATTGGTGTATCAGAGATCTGGTCCGCTGTCTAGGACAAGATTGTTTGACATCTCAGAATGTTTTGGTGAACCTTCAGGTAGCATCCCGGTGGAGACAAACTGATCGACGGACACACAAAAACAAGTAACTTACAAAAAGCTTTAATTTAGAGGAGAAAAAGCTTAAATTCGAACACAGATGGAGTGAACAATTTCTGAAAATGGCCAAAAAGCTGTAAAATGTTTAAGGTTTTTATAAAAACTTTGCCTTAAGCAGATCAGATTATATAGTCAGAACAAATTAAATTGTTTGGCATATCTGAAGTTGTGTGATAAATGGATTCTGTTTAACCCCAACTTTTTTTTTTTTTTTTTTTTTTTTTTTTTTTTAGACAATGAAAAAGATGGCTAGGGATAAACAGACTGTTCTTTACGATAGAAATTGTCACATCCCAGATCACTTTATGCAGCCTGCACTGTCTCAGCACTGGAAACTATATCTGAGATCACTTTATGCAGCCTGCACTGTCTCAGAATTGGAAACTATATTTGAGATCACTTTTTGCAGCCTGCACTGTCTCAGAATTGGGAACTATATCTAAGATCTCTTTATGCAGCCTGCACTGTCTCAGAATTGGGAACTATATTTGAGATCACTTTATGCAGCCTGCACTGTATCAGCATTGGGAACTATATTTGAGATCACTTTTTGCAGCCTGTACTGTCTCAGAATTGGGAACTATATCTGAGATCTCTTTATGCAGCCTGCACTGTCTCAGAATTGGGAACTATATCTGAGATCTCTTTATGCAGCCTGCACTGTCTCAGCACTGGGAACTATATTTGAGATCACTTTATGCAGCCTGCACTGTCTCAGCACTGGGAACTATATTTGAGATCACTTTATGCAGCCTGAACTGTCTCAGAATTGGAAACTATATCTGAGATCACTTTATGCAGCCTGCACTGTCTCAGAATTGGGAACTACATCTGAGATCACTTCATGCAGCCTGCACTGTCTCAGAATTGGGAACTATAGCTGAGATCACTTTATGCAGCCTGCACTGTCTCAGAATTGGGAACTATATCTGAGATCACTTTATGCAGCCTGCACTGTCTCAGAATTGGGAACTAAAGCTGAGATCACTTTATGCAGCCTGCACTGTCTCAGAATTGGAAACTATATCTGAGATCACTTTATGCAGCCTGCACTGTCTCAGAATTGGAAACTATATCTGAGATCACTTTATGCAGCCTGCACTGTCTCAGAATTGGGAACTATATCTGAGATCACTTTATGCAGCCTGCACTGTCTCAGCACTGGGAACTATATTTGAGATCACTTTTTGCAGCCTGCACTGTCTCAGAATCGGGAACTATATCTGAGATCTCTTTATGCAGCCTGCACTGTCTCAGAATTGGGAACTATATCTGAGAACTCTTTATGCAGCCTGCACTGTCTCAGAATTGGGAACTATATCAGAGATCTCTTTATGCAGCCTGCACTGTCTCAGAACTGGGAACTATATCTGAGATCACTTTATGCAGCCTGCACTGTCTCAGCATTGGGAACTATATCTGAGAATAACATTCCAGACCAGAGAATGTGCCTGCTGCTGCATAAGTCTCCCTTATTAAAAACCAACCCATGTCATAGATAGCAGCATGGTCCTCTTCTTAGAGAAATCTGGCAAATAACAACACACTGTACACACTGACATGTACACAATCACACACTGACATGTGCACAATCACACACTGACACGTGCACAATCACACACTGTACACACTGACATGTGCACAATCACACACTACACACTGACATGTGCACAATCACACACTGTACACACTGACATGTGCACAATCACACACTGACATGTGCACAATCACACACTGACATGTGCACAATCACACACTGACATTTGCACAATCACACACTGACATGTGCACAATCACACACTGTACACACAGACGTGTGCACAATCACACACTGTACAAACTGACATGTGCACAATCACACACTACACACTGACATGTGCACAATCACACACTGTACACACTGACATGTGCACAATCACACACTGACATGTGCACAATCTCAGGTATACATTATTACACACTGGCATACACGCTTTTGTCCACAGCAGGTAGGCTCTTTGGTATAGGAGTAGAGAAAAAAGGTTTCACAAATTCAACAATTGAGGATGACTGGATTTTCACAGAGAATAGGCTGTACCTCCGTCTGGCTCCACAGCATAAATACGACAATTGTTGACACCTGACAGTGACACGGCGGCAGCAACACCAGAAATAAATCCACCACCTCCACAGTTGACAACGATCACGTCCGGATCTGGCAAATCTTCCAACAGCTCCAAGCCAGAACTGAAGAGAAGCAAGGAGGAAATGTTGTCTACCCTTGTCCGAGGAAATGTTGTCTACCCTTCTCCAAGACTGATGACCGTGACCTACAGAACAAGATCACATCAGTGAAAGTAATCGCAGAAGTTATCTGTCAACTATTATCACTGTTTTACAAATGTTCACCAAAAAGTTTTTTTTTAAAGTAAGCACGTCGGGCACATGGGAAGAGCACCCCATATTTTTACAGACCAATCGGCATCGTGTGGGTTATGTGGTCAGCATTACACCAGCCGTCTTTACTTTCCCAGGACAGCCCATCCTGGTACCCATCTTAGGTGGGGTCGATTTGCGACGCCCCATACCATGATAAAATTCCACACAGCCAGCAGTGGGTTTTGATTGCGGTAGTTTGGAATTACGAGTCAAACTCACAACGCCTAAGCCACAGACCCCACACTTCATCAACAAGTATCAACAATTCATGAAATTGGTTCTGATATACAAAGTCTGAGTTCAAAAATTGTTTGTCCCAGCTTTATACATTCCAGCACATTATTATTATTATTATTACTGCACAGTTAAACAAGCCCACTGCGGGTCTCTCTTCCCCTATAATTTGTCTGGGGAGCAGCCTCCCCCCCCCCACCCCTGAGAGCAGACCTCCTACACACACACCACCCCCCTCCCCCCAACCCACCCCCCACAACCCCATTTTTCATATAAATACATGATCTTTTTAAGCAATTTTTTTAATACATTAAATATTGTTTTGAATATATTTTTTGTATTTGTCATTCAGCACATAATAATAACAACCATAATAATATTATTAGTTTATTATTGTACGACTAAACAAGGCTGAAGCTCCCTTAGGACAATTGAAATCAAATAACCAAACACTGTGAAACAAAGGGAAACTATACTGCAAACAGAATTTTACAATAATGCAATCAGACAACAGAGACTATGTGTATGTGTGAGAAACATAACCAGCAGGAAATCAATCACTGACGATCACCTGGCATGTCCTGCAATCAGATCAAGGTCATTAAATGAGTGGCTGTAGACGAAGCCTTCCTTGACCAACAGACTGACTTCTGCTTCCAGGTCAGAGGTCGGCACTTGTTTCACTTGAACTCCCATCCCCTAATTTTGTAGAAAGAAGAAGTAAGAAGGTAGAACCATTACTCTAAGAACAAATACAATTACAAACCAGACTATTATTTCAACAATAACTAGTCTTTGCGCTCGCCCCGGATCGCAAGGTCGTGGGTTTGTTCCCTGGCGGAGTCGGACTATTTTCAATAATGACCTTGGCTCCCAGGTCGATCCAGCCTTGAGTGGGCACCGGGTGCAGTCCAGGGAAGTTGAGGCAGCTGACCTGATGCTGACCACATTACCCATCTTGTGCCAATTGGTCAATAAAAATATAGATCTAGCCCTATATGCCCTATACGCCTAAAGGCGTGGAAAAGGGTCCTTTACATTTTTTTTGTAACTAGTGTTTGGCATCTTTAAACGCTGCTCATCGTTTGTGATCCTCCTACAGAATATAGGTGATCCACCGTTTGTCATGTTCCTTCAGAATATAAGTGATGACCGTTTGTCATGTTCCTTCAGAATATAAGTGATGACCGTTTGTCATGTTCCTTCAGAATATAAGTTATGACCGTTTGTCATGTTCCTTCAGAATATAAGTGATCAGACAATCAACAGCAACTGGTGACCCAATGACACACTGTGATGTAAGACTATGATGATGATAATGTTCTTCTTCATGGTGACTTCGTTAGATATCGATGCAATATCTGTCTTAATATAATCTCTTGAAGTGATCTCTTGACGTGATATCTGTCTTGATGTAATTTCTTTATGTGATATCTTGATGGTAAATCTTTTTATATTATGATGTGATATCTTGATGTGTTCTTAGGCCATCATGGCTCCAATACAGACCACCATGATGGACAAATATGGGGGATCAGAAGTTATGTAAAAAGATCGCTGGTCGAAGTCGTATGAGCAAATATATGTGCATGTTTTAAGTGTGACTGGAAAATCATTTGAAAATGAAATCATTGTAGTTATTTAAAAAGGAAATAAATAATGTTTGGTTGGTTGTAAATTTAAAAATGAATAAAGAAAATCTGAAAATGAATAGATAACTGAAACAAAAGAATCACCTCAATAACAGTGACTCGATTCTGTGGAGCAGTGGTGGGCATAATGCAGACACATCTGGCATCAGACCTCCCTACACAGTGAGCAAAAGCTTTCCCATAATTCCCTGCAGACATTGTCACCAGATTACAACCTTGACCATGTTTTGTCCTCAGTTGTCGCATCTGATTGACAACTCCTCGAATCTTGAAACAGCCTGGGGTAAACATTACGATGCTGTGAGACACTTTTTTTTCTGTAACCAGTTTTCTTCTTGTACATAAAAAAAAATGGTGTAGAGCAGGGTTATTCAACTAAGTTTACTCATGGGCCCCAGTTTTGAAAATGGTTATGGTCACGGGTCAAAGTCAAGAGCCCCAGCACAGAACAATCATTATTACAGTACAGCTGACAATTATCCGTGGGCCACATACCAGGACTCTGAGGCCCAGATTTGACCCAAGGGCTACCAGTTAAATGGCCCTGGGGTAGAGTGTAGCCTATCTGTCCTGTCATATGTGAACACATATGTTTTGTTTGAAAAAGCCTGTCAATGTGTATGGCCGCAGTCGTATAGTCTGTGGTGGCTCTCTTCATAAATGGGACAGAAATGGATGAGGATCATTAAAACTTCACAATAAAGTCTTAAACAAAAGCAGTTAGTCAATAAAGTATCAGTTCTAGCCAGTCAGTCAACCTCAGAGTATCAGTTCTAGCCAGTCGGTCAACCTTAGAGTATCAGTTCTAGCCAGTCAGTCAACCTTAGAGTATCAGTTCTAGCCAGTCAGTCAACCTTAGAGTATCAGATCTAGCCAGTCAGTCAACCTTAGAGTATCAGTTCTAGCCAGTCAGTCAACTTTAGAGTATCAGTTCTAGCCAGTCAGTCAACTTTAGTGTATCAGATCTAGCCAGTCAGTCAACCTCAGAGTATCAGATCTAGCCAGTCAGTCAACTTTAGTGTATCAGTTCTAGCCAGTCAGTCAACTTTAGTGTATCAGATCTAGCCAGTCAGTCAACCTCAGAGTATCAGATCTAGCCAGTCAGTCAACTTTAGTGTATCAGTTCTAGCCAGTCGGTCAACCTTAGAGTATCAGTTCTAGCCAGTCAGTCAACCTTAGAGTATCAGTTCTAGCCAGTCAGTCAACCTTAGAGTATCAGATCTAGCCAGTCAGTCAACTTTAGAGTTTCAGTTCTAGCCAGTCAGTCAACTTTAGAGTATCAGTTCTAGCCAGTCAGTCAACTTTAGTGTATCAGATCTAGCCAGTCAGTCAACCTTAGAGTATCAGATCTAGCCAGTCAGTCAACTTTAGTGTATCAGTTCTAGCCAGTCAGTCAACTTTAGTGTATCAGATCTAGCCAGTCAGTCAACCTCAGAGTATCAGATCTAGCCAGTCAGTCAACCTCAGAGTATCAGATCTAGCCAGTCAGTCAACTTTAGTGTATCAGTTCTAGCCAGTCAGTCAACTTTAGTGTATCAGATCTAGCCAGTCAGTCAACCTCAGAGTATCAGATCTAGCCAGTCAGTCAACCTTAGAGTATCAGATCTAGCCAGTCAGTCAACCTCAGAGAATCAGTTCTAGCCAGTCAGTCACTCTCTGGTCTGTAATCTCCATTCTGCCTTCTCCACTTCCGCTTGAAAGACTGCTTTAGCGCTGTTTTGGTTTCCTTGTAGCTGTGTGGTGGATGAGGTTGTGGAAGATTACTCCCAGCTTTTGCCAACTCATCTGCTCTCTCATTTCCTTGAATACCACAGTGGGCTGATATCCACTGCAAGACCAGTTCTGCTTCCTTGGAAAGTAAGCCAATGTTGGTCCTTAGATCTGCAATTAGTTTGTCTTGTTTTTTGCTTGATAGTGCTTGGAGAACAGACAATGAGTCACTAAGTATAACAATGTTGTGCCCTCTGTATTCTTGAGTGATGAGATGTTGGACTGCAGAAAGGAGGGCAGTTGACTCAGCTCTGAAGTTAGTGCAGATGTCACCTGCTGGTAGAGAGAGAGAGTTTCTGCTCTACTGCTAGGGGGTTTAATGTATATTCCACAACCCCCCCCCCCCCCCCCCCCCCTTCTGACTGCTTCTGTAGCAGAGCTGTCGGTGAAAACCTGAGTCCAAGTGGTGATGGGATACTTTTCATCAAGCATAGCAAGAGCCAGGGTTCTCTGTTGTGTCTCCGTCTGGGCATCTTTTGAAGTGATCCCTGGTACCTTTAGAACTATATTTGCCTTCTCTGGCTTGCTTGTCCATGGTTCTGGCCTAAGTTTTTCGCACAGAGCTACATCTCTTTCAAGCAGATCTCGGTGCTGTCTGTACAGTTCTCTAGCAATGTGGTTGGGGCTCTGACGCTTCAGTCTGTTTTTTGTTCTCTCTTGAAATTTAAAATGCAGTGGATGACTTTCAAGTCTTTTTAATTTCTCATACTGTAAAAGAGTTTTGTATTGTCTTCTGAGTTCGAGTGGTTCAGTATCTGCTATCTTCTCTATCTCTCTGATGGGGATGGTTTTCATGGCTCCGAGAACAATCCCTAATCCCATATTCTGAACCTTGTCCAGTTTTCCCATTGTTGTCTTGGCTGCTGCAGCCCATGCAGTGAAGGCATATTCCAAGACTGGCCTGACTGCTCCTTTGTAGTGAATTAAAGGCAGGAAGAAGATGTGAGGCTGACCTCTACAACAGTATAAAGATGTGTGCAAGCAAGACATGAATGATACATTTATTGAGGTGCACTCATTGGAACAAAATGCCATGGACTGTGTTGTGTAGAAAGAGCATACCAGGAAGGGAATGAGAATAAAGATACAAATGATTGCAGAAAGGATGAGAGCTGAGTGTATGAAGAGAAACGGATTAAACACAAATGTTGTTAACAATGGTCCTGAAATCCCATGCTATCATTGTGGAAGACTTTTCTTGACACGGGCAGGTCTTGCTAGTCACACTCACCATCGCCATGGGCTGTGAGTCTCATGCCTCCTCATAGCGCAATATAACACTATCGTCTGGAAAGACGGAAAGGTGCCAGTCAATCAATCAATGAGGTCATAGCTAGTCGGTCAGCTTTAGTGTATCTGCTCTAGTCATTCAGTCAATATTAGAGCATATGTTCAGCATAGAGGATGTGATGACAAGTGAATCATGCACTGTTTAATAACAGCCTGTTCTTACGCTGTCTAGTGACAACAAGCTTTATAATCTGTCCTTACATTTGTCTAGTGACAACCTGTCCTTACACTGTCTATTGACAACCTGTCCTTACATTTGTCTAGATACAACCTGTCCTTACACTGGTTAGTGACAACCTGTCCTTACACTGGTTAGTGACAACCTGTCCTTACATTTGTCTAGTGACAACCTGCCTTACACTGTCTATGTTTGTTTACCTGTTGTCTGCATGTTCTCCATTTTCATATACAAATCTATCTGGGATATATCCAGCTGACTTTTGCCGTCTGCGTCATCGGAGCTGCCTTCCTCATGTTTCTTGGTGTTTGTTTCTATAAACAGATCTTGTACGTGTGCAAGAAGTGGCGTACGTACAACATCTGGTGATGATCTCACATAGGCATATGCTTCCTGAATCTGTCCTAGTGTCAGGATGTCTGCCTCTATGTCCATGGTCAACTGAGGAGATAACATACCATCAGCTGGTCAAATAAGGTGATAACTTACCATTACATGGTCAACAGGGGATACATACCATTACATGGTCAACTGAGGAGATAACACACCATTACATGGTCAACTGAGGAGATAACATACCATTACATGGTCAATGTAGGAGATAACATACCATTACATGGTCAACTGAGGAGATAACACACCATTACATGGTCAACTGAGGAGATAACACATCATTACATGGTCAACTTAGGAGATAACACATCATTACATGGTCAACTGAGGAGATAACACACCATTACATGGTCAACTGAGGAGATAACATACCATTACATAGTCAACTGAGGAGATAACACACCATTACATGGTCAACTTAGGAGATAACACACCATTACATGGTCAACTTAGGAGATAACACATCATTACATGGTCAACTTAGGAGATAACACATCATTACATGGTCAACTGAGGTCAGGATAACACACCATGGTCATGAGTAACACACCACTGAGGAGATAACATACCATTACATGGTCAACTGAGGAGATAACACACCATTACATGGTCAACTTAGGAGATAACACATCATTACATGGTCAACTTAGGAGATAGCACACCATTACATGGTCAACTTAGGAGATAACACATCATTACATGGCCAACTGAGGACATAACCTACCATCAGATGGTCAACAGAGGAGGTGACACATTAAATCACATGGTCAAGTGTTTATATCCAACTTAGTTTATGATATGAACTTAACTAGCCAGAAAACTGCCACTCATCAACAGTTTGTATGATATGAACATAACTAACCACAAACTGCCACTCATCAACAGTTTGTATGATATGAACATAACTAGCCACAAACTGCCACTCATCAACAGTTTGTATGATATGAACATAACTAGCCACAAACTGCCACTCATCAACAGTTTGTATGATATGAACATAACTAACCACAAACTGCCACTCATCAACAGTTTGTATGATATGAACATAACTAGCCACAAACTGCCACTCATCAACAGTTTGTATGATATGAACATAACTAACCACAAACTGCCACTCATCAACAGTTTGTCATGTATGAAGCCCATCTAATCCCAAATGCAAACAGTAATGACAACAGAAATTGTAATGAACTACTGCAACTAAATCCAACCACTGACAGTCACTGGGGAGACAACCACTGGGGAGACAACCACTGGTTTTGACTGCTATACGACAGAGAAGAGGGCACTATACTGGACACATCCTGAGAAGTAATGAGTGAAGAACCGTTAAACAGGTAGTGAGATGGGAAATAACGGATATGAGGATGTGTCAACATCCAAAAGGAAACCATAAAATGAATAGTGATGAGAGGTCAAAGCTACTGGACTGGATTTAATCCATGATATTAAACTGATTTCACAGGATACAACAGAATGAAGGTCGAGACTGTGAGCCCTAAAGTGGCACATGATGATGATGTTCACTAAGGTTTCTGCCGGATGAAAAATACAACAGCTGTTAATGTTGTGTTCACTAAAACTTCTGTTGACTCATCAATGCTAAAGTATTCCACATGACTAAGCCCATCTCTCTGTGTCATTTCAATTGTAACTACACTGTGAAGAGGAAATCCTTTGTCTACATTCCATGGTTTCAGATACCTTCACATCTACATATTGAATAAAATTTGCTATTTGACTGACTGACTGACTTTCTACCCCACCAGGACATCACACAAGCGATAAACACCCGATGGCACAAAGTGCCACCATGCGGATGAGGATCACCGTGGAGAGGTCCCAGAAACCGCGTTCAGACATTTGGCCATAATGATGACCTGCCTATATTGCGGCCCCTGGCAAAAGCCAGAGTGGGGCTTCAAATAACAAAAAATAACGTCCTAAGAAGGACGTAAGGAATATTTGCTATTTTTGTTACAGCCAGCTTTATACTCCGCAGTTTAGTTACATGTGGCTCTTCATTAAAATGAAAATAACAAATCCCCACAGACAATACTATCACATTCTATCACTTCCTGTAGATTTCACATACCCGGTATCACTAACATCTGATGGCCTCCAGGAGATTTCACATACCTGGCATCACTAACATCTGATGGCCTCCAGTAGATTTCACATACCTGGCATCACCAACATCTGATGGCCTCCAGTAGATTTCACATATCCTACATCACAAACATCTGATGGCCTCCAGTAGATTTCACATACCCGGCATCACCAACATCTGATGGCCTCCAGTCGATTCCACATACCCGGCATCACTAACATCTGATGGCCTCCAGTAGATTTCACATACCTGGCATCACTAACATCTGATGGCCTCCAGTAGATTTCACATACCCGGCATCACTAACATCTGATGGCCTCCAGTAGATTTCACATACCCGGCATCACTAACATCTGATGGCCTCCAGTAGATTTCACATACCCGGCATCACTAACATCTGATGGCCTCCAGTAGATTTCACATACCTGGCATCACTAACATCTGATGGCCTCCAGTAGATTTCACATACCTGGCATCACTAACATCTGATGGCCTCCAGTAGATTTCACATACCCAGTATCACTAACATCTGATGGCCTCCAGTAGATTTCACATATCCTACATCACCAACATCTGATGGCCTCCAGTAGATTTCACATACCCGGCATCACTAACATCTGATGGCCTCCAGTAGATTTCACATATCCTACATCACCAACATCTGATGGCCTCCAGTAGATTTCACATACCCGGCATCACCAACATCTGATGGCCTCCAGTAGATTTCACATATCCTACATCACCAACATCTGATGGCCTCCAGTAGATTTCACATATCCTACATCACCAACATCTGATGGCCTCCAGGAGATTTCACATACCTGGCATCACCAACATCTGATGGCCTCCAGTAGATTTCACATATCCTACATCACCAACATCTGATGGCCTCCAGTAGATTTCACATATCCTACATCACTAACATCTGATGGCCTCCAGGAGATTTCACATACCTGGCATCACCAACATCTGATGGCCTCCAGTAGATTTCACATACCCGGCATCACTAACATCTGATGGCCTCCAGTAGATTTCACATATCCTACATCACAAACATCTGATGGCCTCCAGTAGATTCCACATACCCGGCATCACTAACATCTGATGGCCTCCAGTAGATTTCACATACCCGGCATCACTAACATCTGATGGCCTCCAGTAGATTTCACATACCCGGCATCACTAACATCTGATGGCCTCCAGTAGATTTCAGATACCCGGCATCACCAACATCTGATGGCCTCTAGTAGATTTCACATACCCGGCATCACCAACATCTGATGGCCTCCAGTAGATTTCACATACCTGGCATCACTAACATCTGATGGCCTTCAGTAGATTTCACATACCCGGTATCACTAACATCTGATGGCCTCCAGTAGATTTCACATACCTGGCATCACTAACATCTGATGGCCTCCAGTAGATTTCACATACCCGACATCACTAACATCTGATGGCCTCCAGTAGATTTCACATACCCGGCATCACTAACATCTGATGGCCTCCAGTAGATTTCACATACCCGGTATCACTAACATCTGATGGCCTCCAGTAGACTTCACATACCCGGTATCACTAACATCTGATGGTCTCTAGTAGACTTCACATACCCGGCATCACTAACATCTGATGGCCTCCAGTAGATTTCACATACCCGGCATCACTAACATCTGATGGCCTCCAGGAGATTTCAGGTATCTCATTTCACTTACATATCTGATGTAACCAGACAGCTTATAACAATTACACATCTGATATCACTCATTTTCTTATTAGATGTGTAACAATTGAAGTTGATAAAATCAGAGGAATTTTTTTCACAATAAAACATATCTGATGTAAGACATCATATTCACCAACTTTTAGGCATACGGTGTTAAAATATAATGTCAACCCTGTTCTCCTGTATGACAGGCAGTCTTCAAAAGTAATGTCAACCCTGTTCTCCTGTATGACAGGCAGTCTTCAAATGTTGTTTTAACCCTGTTCCCCTGTATGACAGGCAGTCTTCAAATGTTGTGTCAACCATGTTCTCCTGTATGACAGGCAGTCTTCAAATGTTGTTTTAACCCTGTTCTCCTATATGACAGGCAGTCTTCAAATGTTGTATCAACCCTGTTCTCCTGTATGACAGGCAGTCTTCAAATGTAATGTCAACCCTGTTCTCCTGTATGACAGGCAGTCTTCAAATGTAATGTCAACCCTGTTCTCCTGTATGACAGGCAGTCTTCAAATATAATGTCAACCCTGTTCTCCTGTATGCCAGGCAGTCTTCAAATGTAATGTCAACCCTGTTCTCCTGTATGACGGGCAGTCTTCAAATGTAATGTCAACCCTGTTCTCTTGTATGACAGGCATTCTTCAAATGTTGTGTCAACCATGTTCTCCTGTATGACAGGCAGTCTTCAAATCTTAATGAAGATAAAATAAACGTGGGCTGACAAAATAAATTCCAATGTTATTTATAAGCCATCAACTTCAAGAGATGTGGCATGAAATACATTGGTGAAACAGGTCTACGGCTGGCCGACAGGTTCAGACAACATCTTTTAGATGTGCAAAATTTTGCCCTGAAACCAGTACCAATGCACATCAATTCCCAGGATCACCAAGCTGTCCTCATCTTGGAGGTGACAGCCATTAAATCCAGCCACTCCAGCGAAAGAGTCTGCAAGTCCCTTGAGAATCGATTTTTTTTACACTTTGGGGACTTTAACACCCTCCGGACTGAATTGCCAACAGTTCCATTTAAACTCCTAGAGGATTGAAGTTACTCCACGTGGGGTACTTATTCCCCCAGCCCACGCGTGTCGACAGTCTGCTGAGAGGTCATCCACCCGGCTGCTTCCAGATACCTGCTGTGATTTTGTGTATTTGTGTGGTATTGTTTGATTTATATGTGCTGATGAAGGCTCCATAGCCGCAACGT